GTTACTGTTTTTAACTACTTCAAGAGAGTAACTTTTCTCCATTCATTGCTTCAAGTTGATTTGGTTTGCATAACTTATTCATGCATCTTCTTTTCGTTGTACATGTCCAAACACTCAAATCTAATTTCAATATCTTAACTTCAAAAGATGCTACTCCCTCGCAACACTCTCACTGATTCTCTAAGACAAACATTTCTTATTCTAGCATTCCTAACCCTATCACACATTCATTCGTATCATCACACATCTGTCACACAACTTGGTACAAAATACTTCTTTTCAAAAATGATATCGATACTGTTAACAAAGTCAATTTAATTGTAGTTTTATAAAATGCAACTTTTAGATCTACAAGACACCCCAACTTAAACTCAAACAACAATGTCCTCGTTAATGTTTCCTTTTCCAATGTGTTTGATCCAATCATTGATTAATAACATCAACTAAAAAAAATTAAAAAAAAACTTACATAATTGATGCAACTTCTCACCATTGATTAAGACATCAATTTCATATCAAAAAAAATTGCAAAGCAACACAATCATAACATCTGGCTTAGAGTCTATTTGGGGCAGCTGCAGCTTTTCAGCTTTTCAGCTGATGCGGGAAAGCTGACTGTCTTTTTGTTGCAGCTGTGTGAAAATAACTGTGGGGTAGTTGTTCTGGAAAAAAAGATCATTCTGTCTTATTTAGTGAAATTGTTTAAAACAAAACTGTGACAACCACATATTTCATAATTCAGAAACAAAAATTCATTTCAAAACAGAACAAGAGTTTAAATACACAACTCACTTAACGATGAGTACCGAAAGTGCAGAATTTATTAACATTTTTATAATTGAAATACACCTTTTCAAGCAAAACTTTGGACACAAAAGTTCTAGAGATGGAAAAACCATAAGAATTGTGTGGTATATATATATGTAAGATTCACAAATTTTATCTAATAAAAAAGCAATAGAAAATTGAACATCATAGGCCTCAAAATATAGATAATTACACAAAAATCCATACGATATGTTCATATTATAGAAACCTGCATCACAGACGAAATTATAATAACTGAGGGATAACCTCCAGCATTAGAGGACAAGATATTGAAGATTGAGCTTTTGAAACTGGTTGTATCCAAGATTGAACATGGTTCAAACCAATATCACTAAAATATTGGGTGATTTACATATATAGCACACATGTCTTATGCATTTACATATTAAACACCTAAAATTTGATATAACACAAAATATTTGAGTTGGAAACTGTTCTTTTGGGGAGCATTACATACATGCCACCCGATTCTTAAATATTAGCATATCTAACACCAAAAAGTATGGAGTTGGTTTGTCTGCTTCACCGCTCATCCAACAACAAACCCTCAACTCATCCAAAAAATGGAAGGGATGGTGGGTGCTTCAAGAATAGAGAAGTAAAACACAAAAAAAAAATATTTGAGAAGATTAGGGCATCCAAAAGAAAAATGCTTCTTACCGCTGATTCGAGGGCAAGAATCCGAGCTGCGTGAGAGGAGGGAACCCTCGGAGAAGAGGAGAGGGAAGAAAAACCCTTCTTACAGTTGAGATTCTTTTTTTGCCCGTGGCCAGATTTGTATCGGACGGTTTCACGCGAACAGGGCACTGAGGTAAAAAAGCGGATCATGAAGCTGGGACGTGGCTCGGTTCTGGCTTTCCAAGTTCGACGAATATCGCGGCAGGCCGCAGCTTTGCCGTCGCCCCAAACGACAATAAATGGTGGCGCAAAGCGACACCGCACCCTTGTCGCCGCCCCAACCTTTAACGGCAACAAATGAGAAGAGGGAAGAAAAACATTTCTTACAGTTGTGATTCTTTTTTTGCCCGTGGCCAAATTTATATCGGACGGTTTCACGTGAACAGGGCACTGAGGTAAAAAAGCGGATCATGAAGCTGGGACGTGGCTCGGTTCTGGCTTTCCAAGTTCGGCGAATATCGTGGCAGGCCGCAGCTTTGCCGCCGCCCCAAACGACAATAAATGGTGGCGCAAAGCCACACCGCACCCTTGTCGCCGCCCCAAACAGACCTTTAATGGCAACAAATCACCTAGCCGTGGGTTTATCAATCCAAAGACAATCTTAGAAAAATTTACTTCATTATTGTAGCGGTGAATTTACTTCAACACAAGATCTCAACTATTAGAAACATATCCCACAGCAAATAGGACAAACCGTTGATGTAAGCGTCTCTATACAAAAAAGCAAGAACTCCATTTAGACCTTTAATGTAATCTTAAGGTGAATGGAAATTCTTTGGCTATCCCACATCTTCCTAAAAATAAATTTTCTTCAATATAATTATTTTGAAGTTGTTGGAACTGAGTTCAAAAGATTAGTTTCATTGAAGTGTATTTCACTAAGTATCAATTACGCCCTTTTCTATCGCATGAACTCACATTTTGTAAAATCAACTTTTCTCTGTCTATCTTTATACATTCCCAATCACATTAAATAACTTCATAATTACTATAAAATGAGTTCATAACTCATAGCCCTATTACATTTATAAATGTGGGGCCATTCCAAACCTACATAAACTCCCTTCTTCAAAATAGCAACTCATTATCATCCACTTTCTACATCACATACTTGAACCCAATTTCTAAAATAAAATTTTGATCACTGCCAAACATTGCTTCAATCACATCTAATCACTTTCATCAAACAAAGCCTGCCCGCACAACTTGTCACCGCTTGCTCGATCATTCAAATAAATAATAACTTAAACTCCTCTTCTTAGACAAATACCCTTCTCCTTAATTTCCATGAAATAAAATTAAAATTGGTTCAATATCATGTATATTTGTAAGAAAAATTAAAACATCTAAAAATTATTTCTTGCTCTCAATATCTCTAGTTAATTGCATTATCACAAAAAACATTGCATAGTTTATTTTTCTTTCATAAAACAAGATTCTTCAAATTTTGACAAGACTTTTATAGTTCAGGCTTAGAGCTAGGACTGTCATAAAAGATAGTCATTCGCAAATAGCTCGTGTTCGGCTCGTTAAATAACTTGTGATCAATTCGTTCGTTAAACAAGCGAGTCGAACACGAAAAAAATTTTTAGCATGATTTATAAACGAGCCGAACACATAATTCTTCATTCGTGTTCGGCTTGTTTTGGGCTCAAAATAATTAAATAACTAAATATTATATTTATCTATATCATTTTTATATTACTTTTTATACATGTTTAAAAAATACTAAATTTTATTATTTTTAAAAATTATTCGAGTAGTTTAGGTGTTAAATATGTACATGCATAGAATTTGGGTGGTATGCACGTAAATATTCCTAAAACAACTCCCAAAGCTGCGTGTGGGAATAATGCAACGGTGGGGACCCCACATTCTGTAATCTCAAGCATTGTTAACTCCCACATCGGGAACATCAAGAAGGTTGTTGTGAGAAAAGCTTTTTAAAAGCAAAATAAAGCTTACTCAATGAAAGAAACTTGAACAGTGCAGAAGTTAAGCATCTGAACCGTTCATTATCAGAAAAATAATTTATTTTTTTATTTAATAATAATAATTTAATTAAACACATTCTCTAGTTCTATGAGATGAGACGAGCAAGTTAAATTCAAGTCGAAAATGAGCTTAATTTGAACAAATGAGATTAAATCAAAACAAACACGAATAGACTACTTACGAGTCATTGCGAACACGAACCAAAAAAAAAAAGAGTTTGGAGTTTGAACAAATCAAACACAAAACACAAACAAGCCTTGGGCTTGCTCAAGTTTGGCTTTTTTACACCCCTACTTGGAGCAATGGTAAATCACCTCGAATTCAAATCACAAAAAGCTATGTATAGATTCAAGGGTGAAGTTACATATGCCATCCCAAACTAAATGATGGTTGAAGATCAACCCCTTTTAAGTTTGACACAAATTTTCCAAACATCATTCTAAACATTATTATATAAATCCTAAGTTTGATTAATTTAATTACCACGAGCACGAATATACCATTTGTCATTAAACATTAATACCGAACTGTTAACTCTAAGATTATTTGGCATTTGCTGAATCATTAGATTTTCGATTGAAAGATTTGCTAACTTATTCTAATAAAGCATTTTAACTCCCCCTTATTCTAATAGACTCGCATAAACCAAAAAGCAACATGATTATGCATCTTTACCACATTAAAGGAAAACCTTTCTTGGATTCTATAACAAAATTCAAAATAATTTTCATCTTGAACTTTAATTAAAAAGAAGTCCTTAACATCCTCTTTCAAAAATCACTTAGAATTTTTGTCACTCCATGATGAACTTCATCTTGATCCACAAGAAATTTTTATTGCCGCCCTTAACCTGATGAAAAACTCAGAATCTCTCTTCTTTTTTCAACTTGAGCTACCTTCTATATCCCTTTGTCTCATTTCTTACTTCCTAACCTATCATACAAGTCCTCAAGGGCTATAATTTCAGCCTGTACTTATTATTCAATTTGAAAAAAATCTAGCTTCCATATTTTAAATATATCGCCCAATAATATTTGCATAGGACTAAATATGTTTTATCGCAGACCGACAGGAAAATAAATTGCGAGGAAAATCAAGTACTCAGAAAAACAAAACACAATTTGAAGGAAGATAACCTGGACCATTGTGCTAGAAAGTATTCTGCCCATAAGCAACTTCAAAAAAGGATAGAACTCCAAGAAAGTTGCCCTACATTTTACAAATTTAAGCGACCAACAAATGAAAGCATACAAAATCATACAAACCAACTCAAAGAATGCATATATACAGTCTATATATACAAGATGGACAAATATAACAATAGAGTATAAACTTCTGTTCAAACTACTATACTGTGTAGTAAATTCTAGTTTGTCGCCAGAAAGCAGCTTTTCACAATTTCTGAAAATAATTAAATTGTAGAGCAAAAATAAACTAATAATTTATATCCGCTAAAGATGTGTATTTATTATAAGCATTTAGTAGAAGGTGAAACTCACCAAGTGAATCAGAGAAAGCTGCCATTTCCTGAAAAAAACACTATAGCAAGCTCTGTCATCAAAAAGGTTGATCTCCAACAACTTAATCCAAAACTATTTCTGTATTGCTGACAAAATCCAAGTTAGGCTCCCATTGACAGCTAAGATAATTTTTTTAAAACCAAGCTAAAGTCCAGATTCATCATTTAAATTCAGCCAAAAACAGCTGACGAAGCCGTGCAGCTTAACAAAACCAAATGAATGTGGAAAAAAGCTATAAGAATCAATGGAGTATCATCATTTAGAAACTGGCTATTGTTCAACATCATTCATATGTTCCTCGCTCTTCCCTTCGGTGGATGCCTGAAGAAGTTCTAGAGGAGTCGCAGCAGGATCAAGTTCAAGGCAACCCTTTGGAACATTGTCAGCTTCTTCACCTGTGAGCACATAAGAAGGTACCTGATGTGAAAACCGAAACATCTCTTTCTTTGGGATCACCTTCACTTCTTTTGGGTCAAAATGCCGCCTAAAAACTGTTTTGAATCCAGCAACCTTCACTAAGGAAACAACTGAGACACCTTGATCCTCATTATAATCCCCAAGTACCTCCACCATATCATATTTGTGGATCACGTCATCAGAAGTATGCTCATTCCAGTAAGGAGTCCAATTTCTGTACAAGGCCCAAGTGTCACCTTTACTAGGAAGAATCCTAATTACACCACGAAAACCTTTCTCCCATTTAACCTTATGTGAAAAAATATTGATTGAATCAATAACTTCATATCTTACGACTCTAAACTCTCCACAAGTTTTAGAAAACCCAATGCTAACCCAATCTAATTCAGCAAATTCAACATTTGACTTTGATGTGAGGAAACTCATGCGGACCTTGAAAGGCTTTTTGGATAGAACTTTCTGAATCAATGCATAATACCGAGGCATGCCATCATCATCATCATAGGTAGCCCATATCTGATCACCTCCGAAAGCTTCTTCTGTGCGATCATTGTCAAAATCATGAAAATCTGGATCTGGGACGTCAATTGAAACAGGCAGACCAAGATCCTTATCTGAATCATCATTAACATCATCTTGCTGATCTTCCTTTTGAAGGACTTTACTCCGAGAATTGAGTACTTCTTTACCAGAATATCCTCCGTGAACTGTGTCCTTCAGAAGATTATCAACATCTTTTGACTCTTTAATATCTTCTTTAAGTTTTTGTTTATTCTTTGCCCTATCCTTTTCCCTACCCTTGGCAGCTTCAGCCGAATTCAATTCTGCTATCTTCTTTAATATTCCAAACCTGGCCTTTTCCACTAGTAAAGGTCGAACATCTAAATGCATAAATTCCCTGTTAAATGCTGCCAGCCTCGAGCTCCAACTGGGCTTCAAAGAATCTACAGTAACCTTATCCCCATCAGTGAAAGTATTTCGGGTTGCACTAACAGAATGATTCTGATTTACAGCACAGTTATTCCCAGCATCATCCCCAATGTCTCTTTTTCTATTCACATTTATATCAGCACCAGTTCCAGTATAAAGATTTGAAGGAGGGTTAGCATTTCTTCTTGAAGTATTATACCTCTTCCGAAGAAACTCTTCCCTTCTAGCTGCTGCCTGTGCTTCTTCCCGCTGCCTTTTAGCTTTCTCGTATGCTTGCTGAACCACATTAGCAGCCTGTGCAACAGTAGATGAGCCATCAGCACCAGCTGTTGCAGAAAGTCCGGAGAATGGTCCCCACTGGAAATTTGTACCAGAAGATGAGTCTGCACTTGCCCCATGCTGAAACCCTGAGGTAGGAGCGGAGGAATTGTTATTCTTGTCAACAAGATTGGGCTGCTTAGATGGCCATTTAGGTGCACGGAGTCCACTGGGAGGAGCAGGCAATTCGGTGGCTAGAAATGGCTGTTTACATTTTGGACATAGAAGGCTTTTGTTGAGATACATTATATGGTATTCATATTGCATGCAACATCCAGCACATGAAGTCCAGAATGTCGTCAGGGGTGCCTGAGTTGGAGTTGATGGGCCAGTTGGGGGCCTCGGAGCATTGCTTTTCTGAGCTGCCACTTTTGCCGCAGCACAGTTAGCAAACTGATAAAAACCATTACTAGCCGACTTAGAATCAGATTTAGTTTTGCTTGGCTGAGAGGCCTTCTGCTGAAGCCCTCTTGCATATATCCTCTGGTCATATAGCATTTTCTTACTCCTATCAGACAGCACATTCCAGGCCTCAGAAACAAGCTGGAAAGCACCTTCTGCACCAGTAAATTTGTTCTTATCTGGATGCAGCAGGAGAGCTAGTTTCCTATACTGCTTTTTCACCGTCTCTTCATCAGCGGAAGCATTCACATGAAGTATCGCATACAAATCCTTCTCTCCATTTACTTTAGCTTCTGCTGCAAGGTAAACATCCAAAGTTGTAATCATTTGGCTGATTCCTTCCAGGGATGGAAAAAGATTCTGGGCCTTTAATGCAAATTTCTTGGCACCCACATAGTCTTTCTCGGTAGCCTTCCTTTCAGCAATCTCTTTCGCCCTAAGAGCTTCATCACGATTGCATTCCATTTCCTAAATTGACACACAAAACCATTAATATAAATTCACTTTCAAGACTTCAGAGCAGTGATATAGCAGATTCAAACAAAACCTAGAAAATCCTAGCTTCTGATAAAGTGAAAAAGAACAATGTATATCTGAGCATCCTAAAGATCCAATAGCATGGGCTCCCCTAGACTAATATGAATTCACTCAAGTTAGCAGCACATGCTAATATGAACTCGCCCTACATAGAAAAAATCATATTGAGCCCACCGAAACCTAAAAGAGTGATCATCTAAGTTAAATCCCACTCATCCAAAATTAGGCTTACTCGCCCAAATTCAGTAAGTACTCACCAAGCATGTGACTTCATAAAAGAAGATCAGTGACATCTTAACAAGTCACCTACAAGTTTGAGAATTCAATCCTAAAGAAATCACACTACACTCCTAACATATTTTAAGGCGAGAAATTAATGGGTCTTGTTAAGTACTTTTTTAATCCATATAACTCAATATGTGGCTTTCTCTTCAATGCTCATACCCGATCCAAGACTATAGATATATGAAATTGAAGGAAGAGTCCGAATTAAGCAATTTCTTGTATTTAAACCCATTATAATAATATCCCAAATTTTCTCACACTAAGTCTCTCTCTTTTATTATATCTCCTCTTTTTTGCTTTAACTGCTAGTAAGATTATGATGTAAATTTATGCGCAACTTTATATTTAACATCCTCAAACATGCAATAAGCATGGATGAAAGTTAAATCAGAAGGAACACACTAAGAGCCACAGAATAGCAAAATAGAAAAACTTTTGATAACATGGACAATCACCTTGATTCGAACAGCACAGTGATAGCGATTCATCCCCCTCACTTTATTGAATAGAGAAAAAAGTTGAGAAGAGAATGCCACGACTGGCTAATGCTTTTGCAACGAGTGAATAGATGTGAAAGGTCCTATAATATTCAATATTTCTCGTCGTGATTCTAATAGGGAAAATTTTATTTGATGGCTCATGCAGCCTACTATGAATTCTTCGTTTCTTACTATAAATTATAATGCTTTGAAATACAAACTATTTTTTTATGAACATCAAAGACTCGTCTCTCAAATGATTTTTCCGCCTACCACTTCTAAATAGTTACTTAGTTTTATGAGACTCAAAATAATGTTTATCACTCAATCCTCTAGTGTCCCATAGTCTCTAAGAAATTCACAAGCCATATTAACGATAAGGCAGAAGATAAGCAGGTCACTCTGGAGCTTCATAACGAGTATCCAAAAAGAAATGTTGGACAAAGGATCTAGAGTAGGCTATGGTTCAAGTTGTGCTTAATGTATGACGGAATGGCCTTTCCACAACACTATTAGCCTATAATAACCAAGGACATTGGTTGTGTTACTGGACCTCATCAAAAATCATTTTAATGTCAAAAAAATACAATTGCAAGTCAACTGGATAGACTTCAAATCAAAAAAGAAAATTTGCTCAAATAGAAATTTCAACAATTTTTAGGAATCAATTAATTTGCTCAAAATCCAAGGAGTAAAACTCATGCTTTGGCTCACAACAAACTACCAAACCCAGCGACCACATCATCCAAAGAGGCATATAGAAACAAAAAACAAAATGATGGTAAAAAAGGTAGAAGTTGCACCCTCCTGCTCACTACCACCCAAACATCATGTTGTTGCATGTTTCAAAAACTAAACTTGTAGAAGCCATCTAAAAATATTTTTTTTTAAACAAACAATTCCCATGAGGGTTGACCCCAATGTGAGATGTCTTTCAAAGTATTGTGTTCTACAAAAATCATAGGCATAATTCGGAGGCTTGTAGACTCTATAATTTGGCAAACTTACCAAAGCAAAAAAGCACAAAGAGTTTGTTCTTGCACATCCATGAAGGTGATCTAAAAGGAAGCCAAACTAGAAGCAAAGAAACAAACGTGTCATAACACAGACAACACACATTGCTAGATTGATGCCTGCCAATCTTGGTGGATCCAAAAAGAAAACTCTCAATGATTAAATCTAAAATAACTTCGTCGTGGGAGGTAAACTAGTAAATGTCTAGCATTTGCCGAGGTGGATCCTATCATATTTTATCTTGCGAATATACTAGCAAATGGAGATTTATAATAATGCTATTGTGGTCACCGGCCTGATCGCTAACTATCAAATCAACAACATTCTAATTAACACAAGGAAATCAATAAATATTATTTTCAAGTGTTCAAAAAGATGAACTTAATGGTTCTCAATTGTCACAAAATATTATACAAATACTCGAAACAAAAGGAAAATTAAAATATAATTACATCGATGATTACTCGGGGAGGAGAATTTCAATTTTGCAGTGACGGCTTAACGCCTTGGCAACTTATAATATAATCCTCAATCAACCAATTCTAAATATTTTCAAGGCAGTTGTCTCTCACCATTCGATATTATTGTAAAATTTTTTATATAAGTTAAAGTAGTGACAATGAATGAGATTTGCTACAGTCAAAGGGATGCTACTTAAAAGCTATAGAAAATATTCAAACGGAGTGCTTAATCTAGAGATTCATAGAGAATCTAAACTCGAGAATCATGAGATAAGAAACTGTTGTAACTGTGGCAAATAAAAATCAAACTTCTCGCATACAGATTAATGCATTTAAAATAAAATATCATACTATTTAAGCAGATTAATGCATTTAAAGATTCAAAAAATTAATCGAAAATTTTGAAATCTCCTTCAGCAACGACTCATGGGCATAATCATGCCCTGCTTTCTTCTTTTTTAGCAACTTGTTCTTCAAGTTCAATAATCTTATCATCTCTTTTTTGCCAAAGTAATCATAAAAGCAAAAGCAGTGTTCTTGACGAACTCATCTTTTATATTTATAATATTTTTAAGCCCAGCTTCTTGCAAACCTTTCCGTCCTCCAAAACATTTTTTAAAATCACGACTATTTTATCAAGAAGATGGACTTTTGTTGGCAATTGCTTGACTTCTTTGAGGCCGTTTATAATTACTCGCAATTATAAAATTAAATTATCTGCTCATAGCAAGCTCTTTCATTGTCACTACATGAAAATCTAAAAGCAAAATTTTATTTAATATGAGTGATGACTAAAAAAACAAGTTCTAAATCAAAGCTATTGGGGAATTCAATCTTCAACCAATCCTAGATCAGAATCATAATAAATAATCGCCAATGCTTTTTAATTGAGGCTTGTGAAGTAACTACTATTTTTTTTTTCCTATTAAAGCACTTCAACTTAATTTCCTTTGTCTTTTACATCATTTAACAATCTCTTTCACTTTTCTTTTAAAATCTCCTTGGTCAACACCTCGTCAATTATATAATCCAACTAAAAGGATTAGTTACACTAGGTTCAAAAATTTCAATAACAGAAGTAGGAAGTAGTCATTGGACACATTTTAATTGTAGTGGCAACAGGAGAAAATTCAATTGTAGAAATCAGAGGAATTTCAAAGTAAAAGTTGTTTGATGAAGAAAATTGTGATAGACTCTAATTCAAGAAAAGAAGTCCCTAAAAGAATTGAAACAAAATTTGCTTTAATGACGGAATGACACACTCCATATAAACCAAAATGTTCGTAATCACATGAGTACTACAAAAATAATTTTGTCGGAATCCTAGAGATATCCTCAGAACTAACTTCTTAGGGTCATTCTTAAGATGTAACTTTGTTTTCCTCTTTATTCTTACTGAAGCTCTTTTATCAGAAAGATCATCCAGTATTAAATATGCAGTGAAATTATCTAAAACAAATAAAAAAGATACTAAAGCGTGGAAGCAAGTCCCCAACAAATAAGTTTAAGCAAAGAAATTACAAAAAGAGTAATTACAAGTAATTTTTTTTTTTAACATCTTGAGCATCTAGGACTGAATGAATTTTCAAACATAGCTTCTTTAATTGCAGAAATTAGCAGGCTCGGCCTACTTTAAATCTAGCAAGTAGATTTCTAGTTTGATAATGGAACCAACTTTATCCTAATTAGTCGTTGTTTGGAGCACTTCACAAAGTAAAACTTATCATTCTTGTTCTTTATTTTGTTTTCTAGCTTGATCATCTAGATGTCAATAAAAGTAGACAAAATTTTGATACATGTATGGAAAATAAATGCCAATAAATGACATTTGAAGCAATTTTCTTCTCACAGAAAAGGACAACAAAAGAAATAATACTTGTTAGAAAGCTCAGAAAAATCTAGGATAAGGTCTCACTATAAAAATTCATGATATCGATCAATTAGCAACAACAACAACAACAACAACAACCCTTTATCCTACATGAATCCTTTTTATCCATTGTGTCATATTGAGTGTCATATTTTCATTCAATTCTAATAAAATAAGATCTTTTTTTATACAATATACCAATGTCTTTCTAGATCTACCTCTGCCTTTCTTAACATAAGTCGAATCTAAAACATCTACTCTCCTAACTGGATCATCAGATGGTCAACGTTTAATGTGATTAAGTTTAATGTGACCAAACCATCTAAGATGACTCTCTAATTTTGTCTGCCACTGGAGCAACACTATACCTATCACAGATATATTCATTTCACATTTTGTCTCTAAGTATAAAGCCACTCATCCACATAAGCATCCTCATCTCGACAATACTTAACTTAGTTTTATGCTTCTCTTTTAAAGGCCAACATTTAGCGCCATTGAGCATTGCAGGTCACACCACCATCTTATAAAATTTTCCTTCGAGTCTAAGCAGTACTTTTCTATCACACAAATAGCCCGAAGCATTCATCCACTTCAACCAAATCCACTTCAACCAACCAACTTACCAACTTGAATTCTACTAATAACAACCCCATCTATATCACCATCACTTTAAGCGATAAATCTGAGATATCTAAAGCGTTCACACTTTTTAATAATTTAATCACTCATAGTTACAACTCTGTCACTAGAGCTACTTCTACTAAAATTACATTCCATGCATTCGTTTTTAGTTCTACTCAAACAAAGGCCTTAAGACTCCAATGTAGACCTCCATAATTCAACTTTTTCCTGAGCTTTTTCTCTAGTTTTATCCACAAGAAGAATATTATCAACGAAAAGCATACACCAAGGTACATCCTCCTGTAAATGTCCAGTAAGAGCATCCATAAGTAAATCAAAATGATGTGGGCTTAAAGCAGATCCCAGATGTAATCCAACAGAAATAGGAAAATATTTGGTCAATCATTCTTCTGTTCGAACACGAGTAACACTCTAGTATACACATCTTCAATGACTTCAATATAACTCCTATCAATACATTTCTTCTCTAGAACTCTCCAAAGCATATCTCTAGGGATCTTATCGTAAATTTTTTTCTAAATCAATAAAAATCATTTGTAGATCCTCCTTATTCTCAATGTACTTCTCCATCAAACCTCTCAATAAATGTATAGCTTCCATAATAGACCTGTCTGGCATAAATCCAAACTAACTATAAGAAATCTTTGTAATACGTTTCAACGTATATTCAATTACCATCTCCCATAATTTTCAAGTATGACACATCAACTTAATTCTTCTATAATTTACACACTCTTGTGCATCCCCTTTATTCTTAAAAATGGGGACCAAAAGACTCTTCCTCCACTCCTCGGGCATCTTTTTTTTGTTTTTAAAATAACATTAAAAAGTTTAGTAAGCTAAGAAACCCCAAATCTCCAAAATATTTTCATACTTCAATTGGGATATCATTACATACTACAGACTTTTCACCCTTGATTTTCCTTGAATCCTCTTAAACTTCTTTTTTACCAATACGATGATAAAAATGAAACATTTTATTATTAGTAACGATATTAAGATCACTAAGACCGATATTTATTTTCAGAAACTTCATTGAAAAGTTTATTAAAATTACTCACCCACCTATGTTGAATATCTTTCTAAGAAAAACATTTTTTTTATTTTCATCTTTAAGACATTTTCCAGAGTTAAGACTTTACTTTTCTTTTCTCTTTACCTGACTAGTTTATACATGTATATTTCACCCTATCTAGTATCTAGACTATTATAAAAATCACTAAAATTAGAATTTTTAGTATCACATTATCACATATTATTCTCTTAGACTCCACACAGATCATTTAATATTTTTTTCAGTTCTCTAAGCTTTTACATTTAAATCAATTTTTATAACATAACTTCTTATATTTTATCTCTCCTTGCATATTATTATTCCACCACAAACTATTTTAATTTATAAAAACTTTTCCTTTTGACTCTTCAAGTACATTTTTTGTCACTTATTTAGTAGTGTTTGTTATTTTATCCCACATAGAATTTGCATCTTCATGAACATCCCAAATCTTGAATTTTACTCATAAAAATAATTTTATTTCTTTTAGAAGCCACCATCTAATTTTATTACAATGACTCCTAGTATCCTTTATTTTACAACTCTTCATCTTAAAATTCAGAACTAACAATCGATATTTTGAGTACTTAAATTCTCACTTGAAATGACCTTACAATCTTTACGTTCTCTACAATCTTTTTTTTTCATAAGAAAATAATCAATTTATGTTTTATTAGATCCATTCTTATAAATAATGATATTATCATCTCTTTTCTTGAATAAAATATTAGTAATAACAAAATCATATAAAGAAAAATCTAATATTATTTTACTTTTTTTATTAATCACTCAAAAATAGTAGCCACCATGAATATTTCTGAAATCTTCTAACATTCTACCATTATGTCTATTTACATCTCTTCCAAGAATTTTTTTTTTCTTCAAAAGTCATCATTTGTATTAAGTCTTCTAGATTATTCCATAATTTTTCTTTAGAACATATATTTAAACCTACTTGAGGAGCATAAACACTTATAATATTAAAAATATTAATATAAAAAATAATCTTAAGAGTTATAATTCTATCTCCAATTCTATTATTTTTTACAACATTATCATTCAAACTCTTAGCTATAATTACAACTACACCATTTGTAATTCAACTCTTACCTGAATATCAACATTTAAAACCTAAGTTTTCAATCTCCTTAGCATTTTTTACAACCCATTTAATTTTTTGAATACATAAGATATCTTTCTATGAATCATAATATCAACTAATTTCATTAATTTACATGTAAGAGTATTTATATTCCAAGATCATATCCAATTATTAGTTTTATAGACTACCTTCTTTACTCGCATCCATCCATAACGTGAGAACTCTTGCTTATTGAACATTACACCTAAGAGCCGGTATAGCGGCCCTTGCACGTTTTTCACTGTATTCAGGTCATGCAGCGTCGCTTCCAGGGAACGCCCAAGCATTTACACAATGATCAAAAAGATTCATGTCATAATTTTTTGACAAATTTTATGTTGGTTGTCGAATATCTAACACAACCCTCTACTTTTTACATAGGGGACTTAGGACCCAGCAATGACAGTGTTATATCGAGCAATTAGCAACAAAATGAAATATCATATTTTTAGACGAAATTGACCTTAAAAATAAAACCATATATATCTTTGAATTTTGAATTATGAATTTAATATTTATCTAACTTCGTATCATTATCATTATGTCTCAAGAATTTTCATAATCACTAGCATAGTCATATAAAACCTTAAATCATAAGTAAAAAAACCTATGAAAAAAAAATTTTTTTTTGTAATCCATCCTATAAAATGCAAATGAAAATTTAGCTAACATACATAAAGGACAACATAAAGTCAGCCCTTAGTTTGTATTTTCCCAAAGTACAAAGCCAAAGAAAATCTTAGAAAATAGGTCAAAATAATATTACTGTAACGAGTTGCTAGAGAATGAACTTGCAACTAGCTAATAATTGACCCGACTTTGATAGGTCCAAAAAATTTAAGAACTAAGATGACTCTAGTATTTAAATATTGGAACTCGATGAAAAGCATTGATACTTCATTAAAATTAGGATTTTATCGATTCTCCAAGAAATTGATCTCTTCAACAAACTCTTCTTTTCTTATTCAGTAGCTAACTTCGTAATGACGGGTTGACATTTTAACTAAGCCTTATCTAGTTCAACATGATTCTATAATAAAGTCAAATATTACTTCACTAAAATGATTTCACTTATCAGCTCTTCAACCTTGTTTGATAAACATGAACTACAATTTATACTTATGACGAATTTGGTGTAGAGTTGTAAGAATCATGTTAACTTCCTCAAAAACTTGATGTGAGAAGTTTCCTTTATTAGTAGCACATTATAGTTAGGGTTGCAGAAATGGCCATACAAACGGTCGTCTCTAAAACAACTTGAATAGTCCCTTTCAAAGGCCACTATAAAATAATATCAATATCCCTTGATTTTGACTCACATAAATACAACTTGAAAGTCTAAGATGTTCCTAGCTAGATAGTAGTAATTTAAGAATGTTAATTAAAAATTAACCAAATTAGCTTTCTGAGATGACATACTTATGGAGTTCAACTCCTACACCAATCTTGTCCTGGTCTTCACCGAAAAATTCATTGAATAATAAATCATAATATTGCTGGGTTAATTCAAAAAATAAATTCTTTGATTCCAAACAATTTTAACAAAAAATAAGGCAACTTTGCCATCAATGATTATCTTTGCACCAAGTGGCTTTATAATCGTTAGAGCAATGTGCTCCGCGCTCAAATCCTTAATATCACATCAAAAATAGTAAGATTACCGCTTTTTAAATTTGAAATACACCCTTTCATGCATAATTTTAAGTCACCAAAATGCTATGTGTGTGAGGTATGTAAATTTCCATATATATAAATATATACTAACCAATGGAAAAGAAGAACATTTACAGGATTTACAAGAGAAGTTAATGAATGAACTACTTCTTTTCAAAACTGCCGCAGTAGATTCAAACCTCCCCTTTTTGTGCCTTTCAAAGAATAACCCTCTCCTTTCTCCCTCTGACGCCTCTTGAAAATGTTGGCACCTATAGCATCCTTTGAAACTTCAACCTTGTCCTTAGAAATGATCGCTTTGAAAGGAAAATTGAAGAGCTCAAAAATTTTAAAAAAAAAAATGATAAAAGAGCTATCAGTTTTTAAGCTGAAGCAGGGTATCCTTAGAAGGGATACACTGGTTCGAATACTCGCATAAACAGCGCACTAGCTTAAAAAGTGCACGCATTGCAAAAATTAGAAGAACAACAGAGTTACCACCTCAGAAAATCAGAAAAACCTAACTGCCATATAAGCATGCGAAACTCGACAGTGCGCGTAACAAACGAAAACTCTCGTGGGAGCAAATTACAGCAATCGACGAAGAAAATGCAAAAAGCATAAAAGTGCTAAACGAGATGCATGCAGAAGAATAAAAACAAAGCATGACGAGGGAGATCCAATCAGTTATTGCTGAAATGGAAATAGCGGAACCCTAGCTGCTCGATCTCCCGCTTCCATCCACGCTTTCGGTGAATATACATTAGTTGGAAACCTCTGCGAAAATGGAAAAGAAAGAGTAACTACCTGCCTGCACAGAATCGATCTCGAGCTCGATCACAGGTGTATACTGTCAGCAGAATGTCTTCATCTCCAAATCTTTTTCCCACCAAAGCTGGTAAAAATTAAAAATTAAAAAATTAAAAGGTTAAAAGGAATTTTTGCCAAAAAACCTCAAGCCCTAGGCAAAACTGACATTACCAAAAATACCAGAGGAAGAAAGACAAAGAGGACAAGAATGCATACAATGATCTCTCTCCCGCTTTATCAAAATATTTTTCCAAACCCTAACTAAACTAGAGTTAAAAAAATAACCACATGTTAAAAGTAACCATGGTTAAGATTTCAAGCTTTTTATTTATTTTCTCAATTTAGTAAATGTTATAAAAAAATGATAATATATATTTAGAATTAAAGAATGTTAAAGCATTCTCATTACCTACTTGTATTGCTTTATATCATTTCACAATTAAGTTACTTTATGTGGGCCCAAAATATTGGTTTTTTTAAAATATTTATATAGTTTATTTAAACATTAATATGGAATAAGCAAAAAATAAAATTGATAGATTAATTATTGAAATAAGTAAAACTAATGTGAATTAAAATAATAAAGCATAAATGAGAAAATAATTATTATTATGAAGAGAAACCATTCAAATAAATTAACACACTCAAATTATCATATGTCAATAATCATAAGGTAAATCATGTAAAAAGGTTTAATTTTTTAATTAGAATAATTATAGCATATTAACCCCTAAACTATATTGCGTTTAAATTTAAATCATGTGGATGATCTCTTCAAATTATATGTAAGTAGTTCACTCCATAGTCTGTTTCAGTAAACGAGTAAGCTAAACTAAAAGTTGTTCTTTGATTTTCATTTATCGTAAGTGTTAAATTCTTGCATGTGTAAGCTCCATACTAGTGGAAACAAAAAATCATAACTATCCTCACTAATTGCTCGTTTCATAATGTAATCCTAATCGTGTAGTCATGTGCCACTGAAATCAATATCATCATCCATTACTCATTGCTACATGTTTGACATTTTTGCTTTCATGCAAGCCAAGCCACTAGAGTTGTACTTTACAATCAATGCTTGCAACTCTTTAATTACCCTATAAATTAGCTTGCCTTCAAACCACATTGTCATGGGCTATCTTTGCTCTAGTCACCCGTGCGGCTTTAGTGCTCTTCTTTAGCACTAAATCAGTCTAATTCTCACAACGCTTGGACTTGTGAGCACAGAGCACTCTTAAGAAGAATAGTAGAGGAAGGAACATCTCACACTTGAATACTTGGAAGCTTTGATTAAATGCTCAAGTGATTAAAAATGAGGGGAGAGACCTCTATTTATAGTTCCCCTCTAAGTCATGAGAATATTCTAGAATTCCCTACTTTCTCGAGCATTCCATACAACACTTACATAAACACATGATCCTAGATCCTTTGAGGTTCTTCTTGAACTCTCCATGCTCCATCCTTGAGTTCTTCATGGAGTATTGCCTTCTTTCAACCTCTAGAATTGGGTAGAAATTTCTATAGTTGTGCGGAATTTTCTCATCCACCTTCTTGGCTCTAGAAAGTTCTTGTCATGCACGCCTCTTCAAGAGTTTTCTTTCACATATTTTCCTTACCATTTCCTTGGAAATGGCGGGGCGTGATACTCTCCCCCACTTAAACCTGCAATACACTCATTGTGGATTCCCCTGCACCTTCGAAATTGCCTCCTCAGTTTGCCCCCAGACTTGACAAACTTTGGTTTCTCCTTGGTGTTATATGAGAGGGGTGTCATGCAACAAGTCTTCCTGGCTGGCGGCTTATCTCTTGTCTTCAACCAGTTGAACCATCTTTCCTCTTTCTTGGTAGTGGTACATTAGGAACCTTCACCACCTTCATTGGCATCCCAGCTCCTTGGGTCTTTTCTTCTTCATTGGTATCATGAAGGATAGTCAAGTTTTTTCCCTTGTCTGGGGCAATGTCATCCTTGAGTTGGATTGTCAATAGAGTTTTGGATATTTGCTTGCTTAACTTTATTATCGGTGTTGAGCAAGCTTGACTCCCTTCCATGATGCAAAGGTTATTGGAGAAGGGCATTGAGAATGCTCTTGCTTGCTCCAAGAATTTCATTCCTATGACAACTTTTGTAATCGTCCAAAGGAATGACAAAGAAGTCTAGAGTATCTGATCATGCCCTAATGTTGGTCTTGACTCCCATAGTTATTCCATCGATTGGCATCTCTGCTAAGTTGGCAACTTTAATGGAGCCCCCTTTTTTAGTCATCTGCAACCCCAACCTCATTGCTTCCTCACTGGAGATAAAGTTGTGGGAAGCACTCGTATTCACCATTGCCCTAGTGGTCTTCCCTCCTATTGTCATCTTCATGAAGAGTAACCCCTTCCCTTAATGTTTTGTCAGTGTTTGCATCTCGTTTAGCAGTTGAAGAGATCCCACATGTGCCTTCATATCATTTTCTCTATCACTTTCTTCTTCCTCCTTATGGTTTGCAAGGAGAGAGTTGAGGGCCTTCTTCTGAGGGAAATCCCTTGCCCAATGAGGTCCTTCGCAAAGAAAGTAACGATTTTGATATAGTTTGTTGTTAATCTTCCCATTGTTCATTGGTTTTGTTGAGGTTGATTCGCGACATTTCTCCTCCTTGTGTTTGTCAATGTCATCCCCACCTTTAACATCACAACTCTTCTTATCTACAAGCTTTTAAGACTCCTTTGAATAATCAACTAAGCTTTCAACAACTGCGATGACAGTGGTAAGATCTTGCACTCCTCACCTCCTAAGCTTGATCTTAGCCCAATGTTGGAGCCCATCCATGAAGTTGAACAAAGTGTCATTGTCTAACATATAAAGGATTTCAATGACCAAGCTTGTAAACTCCCTAATGTACTCCCAAATTGATCCCTCTTGCTTGAGCCTCCGCAATTCAGCTCTAGCCTCATCCTCGACATTCTCGGGGTAAAACTGTCTCTTTAGCTCCTCTTGAAGTCTTTGAAAGTGGACATGGAGCACAAACATTTCTCTACATCTCCTTTTATTCTTTTTCACCAAAGCATAGCGATTTACAAGAGATAAAGAGCTGCAAATTGGATGTTTGCCTCTTCATCCACAATCTCCATCACTCTGAAATATTGCTCCAGTCCCCATAAAAAGTTGTGTACTTCCTTCGCATTGCGAACCCCTCCAAAACTCATAGGTTTTGGAACTTCAATTCTCTTGGCTTCGAAAGTGGGGCTTCGAAAGTGGGATGCTTCGAAAGTGGGATGGCTTGTGGATGTCGCTAGTGCCCTATTGCAGAATGAAATGTCTCCACTAATCTCCTCCAAGCTAGCACACACATCGCTCATCTCATCCTCATAGGCTCTTTGCACCTCTTGGAGTGTCGGCACTATTTTGGTTTGGGGAGTTTCCCGTGAGAAGTTGTCGGTCACCGGAATCAAAATCACGTCACCCGCTTCGGAAGGACTTTTTAATTTACATAGAGATTTAAATTTAGAAAAATATAAAATCAAACTGACCCCATATTTTTTATAGTTTAAATGAAGGAGTGTTGTACCTCAAACCCTATATCTATCCCAAAGGATAAATACAATACTTGAGGTACTTGAGGAACAATACTTGAGGATGAGGCTCGATCAAATAAACTAAGAAATGTATGACGTCTGTTTGGTTTGCGAAATTGCTTTATTTACCGACAATTTCCCCTACTTAATGTGAAGAATTAAATATGGTTTATATTAAGTTGGGTTCAGAAAAGCTTCCTATAAGGGCAAGCCCCTATAGTTAATTACATCTTAAATGACCAAAGTCACCTAAGAAAACTCTCGATAAAAATCAGAAAATATTATCTTTAAGGATTTTAAAAGGATAGTACTTTTCAATGAAATCAAATAAAGAGGTGTAAAATGGGATTTGCTCAAGTTGGGAGCATTTTGTTATTGGAATCCAAAGGAGGAAGAACTAGGGGATGTCATGGATTTAGATGAGAACCTCGACGACTTCCCAAGCTATCCTATTGTTTGGTTTCAGTTTAGAGGAGAAATTATTTAAGTGTTTCATCTTGTCAATTTTATTAGTTTAGAGCTTACTAGAGCTTACATTTGTGTGGACTTACATTTGTGTGGAACGATTACACAAATAGTCTGGAAGATGTGAGGATTTAGGTCGTGACGGACGACAACCTCGGAATCTAAGGCAAGTTAGGGCTTAAATTGTACAACAGAGTTGTATAAAGGCCTAAAAATGAGGTGAGGATTTATGTTGCACAAGCAGACAACCCCGAAATCCTATGATCTGTTATTTAATTATAAGGAATGACATGATTTAGTTGGGGAAGACAAATTTTGTTGTTGAAGATGGTCGTGCTGCCCACCATGATAGCTGATACACCAAAAATATATGCATTTTTAGACCCATATTTTATACCTATTTTTTATGATATTACACTTTAATGGAAGATATTTTGATGTTCTCTTGCAGGTTGTTGATTTTTACTCTTGCAGGTTGTTGATTTTTATGCAGGTTGTTGATTTTTAGGGTTTAAAACAAAAAGAAAACAAAAGTATGAAATTTGGAGTCAAAATAATATTTTTGAAGAAATGCTCAGCGAGGGCAGCGCCGACGATGCAGAACAAATTAATGCGGAGATTTTTAATCAACACCGATGGCACCAGACCAATGCCGACGGCGCCAAAGGCGGTGCAGACCCTGTTTCTAGAAGGTTCGATGTATTTGGATGACTTTTTGAAAAGTTTTTGGAGGCACCTCTTGGAGAACCAACATTGGACTCTATTTGGGGCCGAATTTCATCAAAAAATGGGCTCCTCTACGTTTTTCACTCCTTTACTTTCATTTTTCACATCACATCATTACATTCCACTTCCATATTGGAGTCAATTAGTGATTTTATTTTCATAGTTTAGGGTTTTTGTGGGTTTTTGTGGTGAGATTTAG